GTGCAGCAAATTCGGTCGAGTGACAGTTTGTTCTTGATTTTCTTTTTTTGTTTATCTTTTTTTTTTTTTTTATTGTTTGTCTTATTTCATCTTTTCTTTTAGAATTGATTATTGTTGATTTATATAATATTATCTCTTTATTGGATTGTAATCCGTTGGGATAATAAAGAATGTTATTATTATTATTATTATATAAAAATCATGGCTTGGTATCCATAAATAAAGTCACAGTGATTTTTTCTACAATTTTTATTCGAAATTAGCGAATGATGACCAAAATTACCGCTTTCATTGTGCATTGTTTGAAAGTAGATCCTTTAGGCTTTACTTTATTTTGTTTATCATTCTCAAGCTTATTTATTTTCGTTTAAATTCTTATAATTTCAATTATCGAATAATCTTATTAATACGGTTTTTTTGTTTCAGTTTTAGTCAGTGCAACTGATAATCCCGCTTTAGAGATCAAACCAGATTTGCCAGTAATTATTCAGCAAGCTGAAAAGAGTTTGAGTTTAACATGTAGGCCACGTGTATCCGAACCCAACCTGATAAGTCAACTAGAATGGAGAGATTCGGTAGGACGCTTGATAGCAAATACTGATCAGAATGCACTAATACATGTTGCGGTAAGGTTTTCTAAAAGCTGCGAAGAATGAGGAGCTACCTTTTTCCTTATGGGCCTTAGAGAGATCCTGTTCCGATCTATAATTATCAAAGAATTGTGTATGTATACAGGGTGTTCATTTCAAAACTTTCCACCTCAATTTCTGTAAATCCGGAAGTTTAAAAAGAAAATCGCTGAAATAGGTAAAGAAAACCAACCCCTTAAAAATCTTAAATGGAAAGGGGTGTCAAGTGATACCTCATTTTAAAGGTGTTTTAAGGTACTACATGTTAGTATTTATGTTTTTTAAATTGATCGATTCGTTTTCGAAATTTTTGCGAAAATCTTTTTTTTGTATTTCCCGCTTTAATTAATATTAAAAACTTTAATCACAAATTAACACTCTGTATAGTGTGTTCATACAGTGCTAGCGTAAAGTAACTGTAATTACTGAAAGTAATTCACTGAAGAATCACCCCTTGAAGTTTGTTGCAGTCATTCAGATACAGCCTGTATACAGTGCTAGCGTAAAGTAACCCCCCATTTTTAACTTCCGAACAGATTGAGATATCAATATGAGCAAAAAAACGTCAGGTTCTAATATTGGTCTCTTATTTTCTTGGGAAATTGAGTGTTAACTTCACGATATTCATGTGGACTAAAATCACTCTAGTAACGTACATTTTGCCGATGCAATTTTCCATCCAAAAAGAAAGTACATTCATCACTGAAACAATTCTAAAAATATTTCTCCGCCGTTGTTGGACCCACATCACACGTTGATGCGATAGCAGCAGACATCATGCACGCATTAACTACTTCTGTTAACATGTGCACTTGTGTGTCTTCAGAAATCGAACGACGACCAGTTCTTTTGCGGTCTTCGACGCTTCCAGTTTCCAAAAACTTTTATTTACAAGTTCTCTTAAATATTTTCGACTAATTGGATGTTCAGGAAATCGTTCATTAAATTGTCGCTCTGTTTCATGTACATTTCTGTCAGCACGAGCGAATATTCAAAATGGAAATGTAGATTCATCGGTAAATAAAATGTTTTTTATAAAATCAACATTTCCGTTGGCCATTTCCATCATAGTAAAGCAAAATTCCGCCCTGGTAATATTATCGTTCTCGCAGAGTTCCTGACTTTCTTGTACCTTGTACGATCTGTACCCGTGTTTCTTTAATGTTTTTAGGACGGCAACATGGCTGATAGCAAACGTCTCCGCAACTTGTCTGCTTGACT